AAACGGGAACAAATACAATATTTGTATTTGCATGTGGCCCGCGGGCCGTAGTTTGAGGACCCCTTCCCTATTCCATGTTTGTGGTCAAATTTTCCTCTTCACTACAAGAGAAGACTGAAAAAAAGGTAAAAACAGAGTTGACACAGTTGTAGATGGGGTTCCCATACTCTAATGAGGAGCTTTAAGTCAATGTATACATTCTAGATACTGGGTCTCTTCCCATACTATTTTCTTCCCTACGCAGGTTGGCTCTCAAAATGATAGCTTCCACAACTTTTCTGAGCTATCTGTTTTAGCAAAATAAAATAAAAATACAATGTCGAGTGATTGCTAGCTGTACAATAAAAATATGATATGCTTTCATAGTGGAGATTTATCCCTGGTAAGTGGCTGCCCGACAAGAGTGTATTTCCTATCACTCTATAAATGTATATGCAAAGTGGTAGGGATGGAATTGAGTGGAATTGATAGGCATCTCTTCTAGGCATGGCAGGTACATAAAACCTTTCCATTAGCTTTTGTCTATGATCCTTTCTCTTCAGAGCTGCTTGAAATGTAGATGACCTCCAGGGTGACCGTAAACATCATATATTACAGATGGCAAAGCCTCTGCTGATCTAGGTCGCTAAATGATGGTGTGTAGAATGGATGATCTCCAATAGAACTGTCTGTTCAAAACTCCAATTGCCTTTTTTTGGATGAGTCAAGATTTTTTAAAAATATATTTTATTGATTTTTTTACAGAGAGGAAGGGAGAAGGAGAGGAATAGAGAGTTAGAAACATCGATGAGAGAGAAACATCGATTCAGCTGCTTCCTGCACACTCCCTACTGGGGATGTGCCCGCAACCAAGGTACATGCCCTTGACCGGAATCGAACCTGGGACCCTTCAATCCGCAGGCTGATGCTCTATCCACTGAGCCAAACCGGTCAGGGCTCAATATTTTTTTTATTATAATACACAGCAATGAAAAGAAATGAACTACTGCCATGTTCAACAACCAAGATAAAATGTTGGTCAAAGGAGTCAACCACAAAAATATATATACTGTATGGTTCCATTCATACAAAGTTCAACAAAAAACACAACTCATCAATGGTAAAAGAGGTCACAATGGTGTTTACCTTTTGGGGAAAGATATTAACTAAAAAGGGACAAAAAAAGAAACTTCTTGGATTAGAAAATATTTTATATCTGAATCTGGGTGATAGTTCCATGGGTGTGAATGTGTGAAATATCATCAGGATATACACTTAAGATTTCAACAGTTTACTGTATATATAGGGTTGGGAAAAAGTAGGTTTACAGTTGTGAGTATGTAAAATACAGTTTATTTTCATATTATTATTTATTAATTATGTATTTCCCATACAAGTGACTGTAAGCCTACTTTTGCTTCACCCTATATGTTACACTCTTATAGAAATAAAAAAAATAGTGGAAGATATGTTTCATCAAAACGAAAGAGACAACCAAAAAGAGGATAATCGCAGATGTCAGAGTCAGGGAACTCAATACGAAGAGAGATGAAAGAAACTTCCAAAAGGAGAACACAGCCTTGCATTTGTACTCTAGATAGAAAGAGGCAACAAGCAGAGCAGTATGACCCCAAAGGTGAAGTAGAGGACTATCGTTTCAGAAATCCTTTCTGCCGTTGATCTATTTTTTATACTTAAGACATAATGTGGGGTTGAGCCCTACCTTGACATGGATTGATGCAGACTCTGCTTGCCCCCCTATGCCCTCATGCCTTATAAATTAAATGTCTCATTTTGCCCCACAGAAGTATCCTGCTTTCACCTTTTCCTGAGAACTAGAATAGGTCCCTTTGAGCTTAGAAAAAGATGATTCCTTTCACCCACCTTCCAAGCTCATATTCCTCACTGGTGTTCCATACCTGGGCCATGAGTAGCTTTTTGTAAGATGAGAAAAAAAATCTCTTAACATTTTAAAGTCATAATTTATTACGGGTAATAAAACACAATTCTAACATGTGTAATCTTAATCCCAGCCAATAAAAACTTGCCGAAAAATAAACATTGAATATAGCAACATCCTTAGTAACAGTGCAATTCACAAGCAAGTATGCACATGAAACATAAACTAAAGAATATGTACTTCTTTAGATTTACTCAACTTAATGTTTTCTGTGAAATAGATCAAGATTTTGAGCACATGGAGGGTATTTTTCAAAATATTTACAAGATCACACCACAGTGAGCTCTGTCTAAATGACACATGACAGCCAAACAGCACCATTCAAACATTTAAAGGAACTGAGGTAGTTATCTGTAGAGAAAAATATCAACAAAATAGCTATAAGTGGAAATGAAAAGCAGACCATAGTGCAATAGTGTAAGTCCACTTGTGTGTGTGCATTCTATATTTATAAGCACAATTCTGAAACTATCTTGGAGGATACCCACCAACGTGTTGAGAGTGTCTACTTTTTGATAATGGACTTGAGGAAAGAAATGGTGATCTTTTTATCCTTCATTGTATTTTTAATAACAAACACAACCAAGTAAAATGTTAAAAAAGATAAATGACACCAAACATATGCTTCAGTTAGCTAGATGATGCCAAATGCACAGATATTAGAAAACATTTAGCTTATTCCCCTTTTTTCACATTCTTCCGGATGGTTAAGATTACATGGATACTTCCTCAGTTAATATTCAAGAAGTGTTAAAATTTGTAGTATCCACCTTCACTATGAAGTTACAGAAATGAAAGTACTTCTCCACATATAGTTCTCTTTAAAATAATTAGCAACGAGTATTGATGAGGCAAAAATAAAATAAATAGTAAAGTGATATAATTGGAAGAAAGTGTAAGTTTGTATCTTGGCTTCTCTGCCCTGTGGGGAAATTTATTCATCTATAAAACAGAGAAAATCAACAGTATTTTAGAATGATGTTGCGATGATTAAATGAAAGAACATGTTAAAATATCTTCCTTGGTGTCCAGCCCAAAATAAATACTTGATATATGTGTCATTTCCCTCACTCTCCCTAATTATCAATTACCCAATTTAAATAGCTTTTAGAATAATATTTTTTTCTATTTTTATGATTTAAAATTTTGAATTTTAAAGATAAATCTATCATGGTGGTGGAGAAGTGTAAAAAAAAAGTTGAAAAATATAAAAATCCTTTTTAAGGATTAAAAAAAATGAACTTGTCTCTACTATGAATTCCTCTAAGGCAGATGTAGGTCAGGAATAAGATGCAAGTCTGGCTCTTGCATTAAGAGCCTCCTGCCCATGTCAGGGAAAATATAATCCTCACCTGAATCAACAAAGTGGAATTTGCCCAAAGATTATCTTGCAACATCTGAATTTCAAAAGTGATGTGAACTCTTCAAAGACTTATTTTTTAACTGCTTATCTTAGTAAGAGGTTGCTAATACAACACCCATCTAAGCGTCTGATGCAAAGCCACCCCTGTGTGAGTAAACTTGACGTTTTTAGGTCTTCAGACTCTGACTCGTAGTAGATAACACCTGTCGCATTGTACATAAAGCTGGTGCAATTTTAGTTTTGTTTCATTTGTTGGGACTTGCTGCTAAACGTTTGGTTCCCTCTCTTGGCACATAGGAAAGAATTCAAGGTTGTGGGCAACATCTCCATTCCTGGCAGTAGGTATCTTGCCTGAGGGACTGAAAAATGATACCCCTGACTTTTCTTCTTTGTTGAAGGAAGGGTAGCACACCTTTCTCCATCACTGGTATTTTCCAAGAGCAGGAGGTGTTCATGTTCATTACGCATGTCTAAAAGACTTTTTCTCCAAAAGAGAATGCACCTGCCTTACCCTCCTTGTAATCAGAACATTGGTTTTTCATCAATTGGATTAACTTTTCTTTCAGTTCTTCTCTGCAGGAGGTATCTTGATATAAAGTAAGACTTACAAAAGCCAAGTCCCTGAATAACATCTTGAAGACTCTCTGAGGTGACTTCATGAATCACCACAGATACTTTGCTCCCTTATGACTCAATGAGGAAATTATTTATGTGTCTTTTCCTAAACTGTGGTTAAAAGAATGGTACTCAGTGTTCTTCAATGTCAAGTCAATAAATCTCAGCTTTAGTACCAAACCTAAAGAAGTGTTATATCTTTAGGAGTATGTTGTCTTCAGAACATGAAACTATGACCAAAGATGTTACTCACTTTGCCACTGATGTCAGAAACAGTGAAGTAAAACTTGTGCAAATATTGGAGCTGTACTTGCTCTGCCTCCATCAATGGGACCTTTATACCTTTAAATGTCTCCTCTTCTTCAATACTGTAGCCTCTACTCTCTGAAGTCTTTATTTAAATCGTGTACTTGGGTGTGTGCAGGGGGTGGGAGTGGTAATTAGTTTTCTATTGCTGCTGTAACAAATTACCATAAATGTAGTGGCTTCAAACAACCCAAATTTATCATTTTATAGTTTGAGAGGTCAAAGGTTCAAAATGAGTCTCAGTGAACTAAAATTAAGATGTTTCTTCTGGAAGCTCTAGAGGAGAATCTGTTCCCTTGCCTTTTCCAGCTTCCAGAGGCCACCCATATTCCCTGGCCGGTGGCTTCTGCTTCCATCTTCCAAGCCAGCAATGATGCGTCTCTCTGACCATTCTTTCCTAATCACATTTCCCTCAGATTCTGAAACCTCTGCCTCCTTCTTCCACTCTTGAGAACTTTTGTGGTTACATTGGGTCCAACCATATAATCCACAATCACCTCACCATCTGCTGATTTGCATCCTGAATTCCATCTGCAACTCCATCTTGATTCCACCCGTAATTCCTCTTTGCCATGTAATAAACATGTTCCCAGGTTCTGGGACTTGAGACATAAACATCTTTCAGGGTCCATTATTGTGCCTACCACAGGTGACATCTTAACTTAGCAAGGAAGAATTAGGACTTACAGATAGGGCCCTAGTCAGTTTGGCTCAGTGCATAGAGCACCGGCCTACTGATGAAAGGGTCCGGGTTCCATTCCAGTAAAGGGCACATACCTCAGTTGCAGGCTCCTCCCCGGCATCCAATGGATGTGTTTCTCTCACATCGATCATTCTCTCTGTCTTTCCCTCTGTCCTCCACTCTCTCTAAAAATCAATGAAAAAATATCCTTAAGTGAGGATTACATACATATGTACATACACTGAGTGGCCAGATTATTATGACCACCCCATCAGTACTTCGTTGGGCCACCTTTTGCCTTCAATACTGCGGCGATTCTTCTTGGCATTGACTCCATGAGATGTTGAAAGGTGATGCGAGGAATCTGACACCATGCCTGATGAATAGCATTGTCCAGTTCTGTGAGATTTGATGGTGTGGAACCAGCTGCCTGATGGCTCTTTAACTTCGTCCCACAAAGGCTCAATGGATTGAGATCTGGTGATTGTGGGGGCCACTTAAGCAAGGTAAAGTCTCCCTCATGTTCTTGAAACCACTCCTGCACAATACGAGCACCGTGGTATGGCGCATTGTCTTGTTGGAAGAAGCCATCTCCATTGGGATACGCCATCAACATGATAGGATGAAC